CTGATATCACCGAGTGATCAAACACATACTGAACAGACCAGTTCAATGGGTATGAAAGACAACAATAACACTGTTAGGGTTAGGCTGAGCCTGATCCTAAATAGATATTCGTGCAAAAGTGCAAAATCACTCTACAAATACAATCTCTCGAGCACTAACCTCAGTCAGTCCTTCAATGTGAAAAAGGTTGATTCACACACACAGCAGCAGCAGTAGACAGAAATACTAAAACCGCTTTAGCAACCAGAAGTGAAAGCTGCTCTGATGCTTAAAGGGTCTTTCACAGGCGACACCTGACACCTGACACGGAGTCACTTCCTGCTAGACCTGATGCTGAAACCAAGATATTTTCATATTCTTCACCTTGTGTTTTAACCTGTTTATGACAGATTCAAATATATACATGATACTATTATGAAAGACGTGCACTGTTACATCCTGACACACACACTTCGAAACACCTATTTCACACACACACAACGTACTACACAACAGAAGCACAACACCCATTTTAAGGAAAACTAAAACTGCATTTTTGTAAATCCATAAAAATGTGATTAATACCAAACACAATGGTTATTGTTTTGGCTGGTTACACGATGCAGACTCTCATTAAACTAGATCCTTCATCACAAAGAAAACAAGAGTCACAACAAAAGGCCACTTTGGTGCCTGCTGAAAAGGTTGGCCTACATTTAGACAAGCACTTGTTGATTCCTGATAGCTGAATTCAGCTTCCAGTCACAGGTGCTGCACGCTCTGCACATGACTGCCAGTATTTCTTAACGTTAGTTTACAAAGCCAAGAAAAGTGATCAATCTGATTTAACTTGTTAAAGATTCAGTTCAAGCTGTAATATGAAAATAGTCTATAAGATCCAGCTCAGTTCTCCTAAAAAATACAATATCCAACACAGCGGCTCAGTCATTTCTCAACAAAGTTAACCCCACAGTGATGAATGGATGCTCGGGTTATCTATTGTAATATTTAACATTTTGTGGTACCTGTAGATCTTTTCAATCTTTTGGGGTCAAACTAACTGAAACTTTCTTTAGTTATTGATGACTGTGACACTATTTTTATTCTAATCACTAAAAGTTAAACTCTCACAGTATAACAGAGGACTGACTGCACTGCATGACCATTTATGGGTTCAGATCATATGAGGGTCATACCTTCACATTAAACTTAACATCCTCTTGAATTTGGGAGTACAATAATGTCACATCCTTGTTAAACATATCTCTTCAGGTTCTTAAAATTCAGGGTATTGTGCTCATTTTCAAGCTTTAAGTGACCCCTCTGACTGCTCTGAAGAAGCTCAACATGATTTGCCCCTCACAAAGTTTTTTACTTATCTCAGGCTCGCCATCGAAATTGAGCTACTTTCTCTTTTAAGTCCACCCAGCAATCAGGAACCTAACCTTTTGGAAGCCTCCTCCACTGTTGCCCTGATATAATGTTGGGTTTCTTTGTTTACATGAGAAATTATGATAAACAGCCATATGTTTTGGACCGCAAATCTGATTTCAAAAGTCTAAAAAATAAGAAAAAAAACTGCAACAATGACTAGGGCAGAATATTTTTGTTCTGTAAGTTTAACATTCATTATTCTTTTGAAGGTTTTTAACCAATCACAGGTGGCTCTCACATGATTATTACGGGAAATGCGATTCAGAGCAGTATGCAGTGTCATCCCGGTTTTACCTTACAACCTGAAACTATGCCCGTGCTGAGTAATGACATCTAACATTTCAACTCAGTCATTACCATGAAAAAGCACATCACCACTTCAAGAGCTGCAACGTTTCACATTCAAAAAGCATCAAGTGTCCTCCCAAAGAGACTCAAATGATTTAGGGGAGAGTGGGGTAAATTGAGCCAAAGGGTAAGTTGAGCCACCCTCTGTTGCTTGGAAATGGTGAAAGGAATTGATCATGTGACCAAATTTTTAGGAGATGGGCATCAATTCATGGAGTCTGTGAAGGTCAGAAGCACATGGGTGAAGGGGTTAGACATTTATTTACAAAAAAAACATTTTTCACTCTTGAAAGTGAATTTAGTCTGTCATAAGTTTTATTAGAATTGTGTTCAGACCAAAAAAGATCATTTTAAATGTGTTTTATACATCAATTGTGGTATCTATGAGCTACAACATGAGGTCAAAAACCGAGCATAAAAGTCCACCATTTTGGTTTAGAGGACTAATAAAGTCATAATAGTAGTTCTGGGGTAAACTGAGCCAGTGACTCAACTGACAAAGGAAAGAAATCTGATGAGAGGATCAGAGTTTCAGTTCAGATTGTTGAAATGTGTTACTTTTTCTTTTCGAAAAATACAGCTGTGAATGTTCTGAATCACTCAGAGACATTCTCATGTTCAAATGATTTCTTACAAAACAGCTTTTTAGCAGTTATAAGCAATAATAATAGAAAGAATTATTGTACCAGCTGAATAGCGTACAATAGATAAAAATACACATGAATGTGAAGAAGTGACTGTTATTTAGGGAGAGAGAAGGTGAGGGAGAGCTGGGGTGGAGAGTAGGGGGTAGTAGGGATACGGCTCAACTTACCCCATAGGAGACCACTTTTTTTTGTCATGCTATATTATCAAGACAGTTATGTTTACTCTCATTCTGTTGGTTTGCAGGGATGAACAAAATCCTGAAATATATGCAGATACACTAGTTAGAGACAAAACTATGATTGCCTTGATGTAGTGATCTGAAATATGAAAAACGTCTAATCTTACCCCACTCTTCCCTACTTGCAGTTCACAAAAAATACAACGCATCTATAGAGATGGCATTTTCAGGCCCTGCTCTGTGATGACAGAGAATGTGGAGCATCTCACTCAAGTTTGCAGCAAAAACACAGACAGAGATGATGATGATGTCATCCAGACACATATCTTGGAGTCGATCCAAGATCCAGAGTGGGGTAAAAAAAAAGCTGTGACACCACAGCAGCTCCTGTGATGCTGCTTTAGTATAGGCAGTTTTACAAACACACAGGAATGAGCTCTGTCATTGAATAAAACTTATCTGGGTGACTGAAAAAATCTCTGCTACACTTTGGTAATGTCTAAATCCCACAGCAGTCACCTGATGATATCAATAATACAGATGTTGCAGCTCTGATTTCCAGCTAAACAGACACTGAAATATGAACATGCCCTGTATGATGGTGTGTGTACATATCTTTTAATTTTAGAAGTATATTGTAAATCCTGCTCTCACTGGTGTCTGCAGGCCTGGATGGGGTTACAGCATCAGCAGCTGCCCAGCGTTTCTGATGTGCATCCAGAGCTTGACCATACACCAGCTGAGTATTTCGTCTGAAAACGCCTGTCTGAGCTCGCAAACATACAAAGCAGACTTGTAAAGCGTATAGACCCCTTTCATAACAGCTAGCTACTGCAACACAACACAGACCAGGCACAAGAAGCTAGCGTCAACTTCTCAGTGCAGTCCCCGCTGTAGCACCGCTGTAATACTGACACGGTTTTCTGTCTCTCGTAAACCTGTACGCAAGGAGTAAGCTGTCAGGACAGGTGAACGCAAGCTAAACAGGAAGTACCTGTGTGTGCAACAAGCCACAACAGTCAGCTAATGCTAAGTTTGGCTAGTGCTAACCAGCTCGAAGTCCAAAACAGTTGGACCAGTATTGAGAGGAGCGGTCTCCCTCAGCACAGCAACACCCCGCCCGGCCCCGTCCGGAGGAAAAGGACGGGAACGTAGAGGGGAAACACCATTTCTCTTCTCGCTGCATGTCAAAAGCGCACTGATATGAACACATGAGTTATTTTGAAAGCTGTCAACTTACTTGTTTACAGCGCTGAAGAGTTGCTCGCTAGCTCGCTCGCTCGCTGTCAGAGGAGTTGCAGCAAAGATCGTGTATGTTTGATAAGATGAATCACTCGGGAGTTCAGTGACACGCCTTCCGGTTTGGAATGCTGGGTTGACGTCACGCATGCGCTGTACGTCAGATTGCTTAATAACATATATTCATGACAACAACAAAAAACCCTCATATTACGGCAATGTTATGTAACCGTATACATTCGCCAGTGTATTTTACTAAATTATGTCCTATTGGATAGTCAAATTAGCGAACTATAAGGGAGAGTGGGGTAAGTTGAGCCAAAGGGTAAGTTGAGCCACCCCCTGTTGCTTGGAAATGGTAAAAGAAATTAATCATGTAACCAAATATTTAGGAGATGGGCATCAATTTATGGAGTCTGTGAAGGTTAGAAGCACATGGGTGAAGGGGTTAGACATTTATTTAACATTTTTCACTCTAAGTGTCTGTCATAAATCACTCTTAATTTAGTCTGTCATAAGTTTTATTAGAATTGTGTTCAGACCAAAAAAGCATAATTTTAAATTTGTTTTATTCATCAATTGTGGTATCTATGAGCTACAACATAAAAGTCCACCATTTTAGCTTAGAGGACTAATAAAGTCATGATAGTAGTTCTGGGGTAAGTTGAGCTCAACTGAGAAAGTAAAGGAGTCTGATGAGAGGATCAGAGTTTCAGTTCAGATTGTTGAAATGTGTTACTTTTTCTTTTCAAAAATACAGCTGTGAATGTTCTGAATCACTTAAAGACATTCTCATGTTAAAATGACTTTTTAAAAAACAGCTTTTTAGCAGTTATATGCAATAATAATAATAAAAAGAATGATTGTACCAGTTGAACAGTGTATAATAGATAAAAATACACATGAATGTGAAGAAGTGACTGTTATTTAGGGAGAGAGAAGATGAGGGAGGGCTGGGGTGGAAAGTGGGAGGGTAGCAGAAATACGACAGAACTTACCCCGCTCCTATGGTCAACTTACCCCATACACGGGGTAAATTGACCATAGGAGACCACTTTTTTTTGGATGCTATATTATCAAGACAGTTATGTTTACACTCATTCTGTTGGTTTGCAGGGATGCACAACATCCTGAAATATAAAAAGGCTTATAAAAAATGAACAGACATAACAGATTAATCGATGAGACCATGTGTATTTGGAGTCTTGTCAATCATCACACAAAGAGCCATTTCAAGCAGTTACAAATCTTTAATTGTCAAAAGTTAACACTGTCAAATATTACTGTTTCTGTATTTATCAGGTACAATTTTTTATGTTAACACATTTCTAAAAAGCCTTTTTCTGTTTTCAAAGATAACTAGTTAGGTAAGTAGTAAAATATATAGATAATACAATACCTAAATAAATGATGACAAATCAACAGATTCCTATTGGTGGACAACAACATGACTTACTCTCTTACACTGAATCCTCTGCAGAGATTTTAGCACAGATTTTCCAGCCAAGATTTCACCCAAACATTGAAACTGTCCAACTTTAATGATCAGCTTTCATCAAACCAGTTTTGCTTTTTATGATCAATTCAGAGAAAACTCATAATTATGGAGATATACGGTCTGAGGAAGTTCCAAGATTTAAAGTGTAATAAAGCTGAAGTTGGCCTTAATTCAAACTTAATGGAAAAGCTATCAAGAAATCAAAGAGTAGCTGCTGATGAATGAATGTTAATTATGTTTTATGCCGTGTAAGAGATTGGGAAGTGTATTTTCATTTAATGCTTGGATGAATGATTGAACATAAGCCAACCCTCTCACTCCATGTAAGGTTTCTTGCATTGCTTATTTAGTGTCAGTGAATCCTGCTGCACACACAAATATAACAACCACCATCACAGATTATTATTGTTTATGGCAAGCAATGCTGCACCAGTGTCATGTAGAAAAAAAGTCTCTGTGATACAGTCTTTTATCACATAAATGTGGTCTTAATTTGTTTCAGTATGAATAAAATAATCCAAACAACAAAAGAATTTAATGTGTAAGTAGCACAGGAGTATAGGAGGACTGTGCCGACAAACTACTCAATCACACCCCCTTATTCAAAGTCCATCATGGTCACATCTACAGAAGAATCACTGGTGTCCAGTCACTATTTACAAATCAAACTTTTTGCATCAATGTCAGAAGAAAAACTCTCAGTTCACTTCAAGAGGACCGACGTTGTGTTCAAGGGCTGCAAGTGCCTTTGATTTATCACAGGCTAGACACCTCAACACATGAAGCAGAGGTTCAGAGCTCTGACGTCTGTGTGGATAATCCGGCTTTATATGCACATGTTTCTTAATATCAGTGTTAACGATTACATGATGAGACAAACCTGGCAGGAAGGTGATGACTGGAGATAAAGAGCTGCATTAGTTTGCATAGAAAAAGCTCCAGTCATCAATCTGTCTCCAGCATCCCTGTAACTAAAACATGCTTTGAGAGATCCAGAAAACTGCAAAGGTTATGTTTGCTGTTCCTTCTTGATGTTTTACTTTCTCAAATAGCCTATATTTCAGCCTCCTTTGTTCCTGTCACAACAAAACTGCTTTATTTTGGGAAATAAAAACCATAAATGATCTAAGATAGCCCTCAGTCAGCAAAGACACAGTAACAGTCAACAGATTGCTTACAATTTTACAACAAGACCCTTTATAACGGGCCTCAAAGGACATTTTCTATCTACCTTCAATTACAGAAAGACTATCTCAGTGAACAAAACATAAAGTTTAAGGGTATAAAGTGATGAGCTAGGTTTGTCAAACTCTTGAATCTCCAGCAGGTTTTAGCAAATGATCATTTAAACTCACTGAAACCACAAAACCTTCATAAATGTGATCGTGTGACCTCCACCACTGCCAGGCCTTCATCGAGCAAATCCTGAGCAGCTGCTGCAGGAGGTTTGGAAATTATTTAGGTGTATGTTTGAGTGAAGAGAGGAGTGTCTCTGTGTGTGTGGGTGGTGGTCAGGGTTTACACCTCGGTGCTGATGGCGCGGGTGTTGGTGTAGAAATCAGAAGGTCTTCCTCTGTGGGCGTCCCTCAGCATGGTGCCTCGGACGGCGGGCAGTGGCAGTGACAGCGCCTGGTTGTCATAGTGTGTGGGCATGTAGGTGATACGCTCGCCACCGTTGCGCATGTCATCTGTGGTGCGGATGTAGAAAGGTGAGTCATAAGGGGAGCAGGTGGGGCAGTAACGGCGTCGCCCCACTGTGGGTTTGGTGAGGTCAGAGGAGGACAAGGGAAGCTCTGGTGGGGACATGGACAGAGGGGTGATGTTTGGCCCGTCCAGGCCGGTGACGCTGCAGGCGTTGCAGGCAAAGTGTTGCTGGGAGATGGAGGCGCTGTCAGACCCATTCTTCTTACAGCAGTAGTACTACAGAGGGAGAGGGAAGTAAATCACACATCGAACTACTCTAACACAAACTACAAAGTCCTTTAACATAAACATGTCGCGTTACAGTCTATAAGTTTGTAATATTACACTTCACCGTTTAGTGTTTATCTTTGTGAGCACCATGTTGAGTCAGCTCAAATCAGTCTGTATTTACACAGTAACAAATCACAGGAGAGTCGGCTCAAGACATTGACACCAACAGGTGGCCTGGATTTTTGTTGTGTAAATATAATGACATTTTGAATGTAAATAACTGTCGGGCTGAAAAATCCTGCAACTGTCTAACAGAATGAGACACAAAAGGTACAGGAAAACATATCTTTATACACAGCACTGTGCAGTAGAACAAAAATAAGATGTACAGTTTGTTCATTTTTGCCTCATTTCACTTTATCAAATCAATGCACATAATTGTCTCTGCAGGGTTTGATTATAAAATGATTTTTTCTGTATGTGATTACTTCTATGAGAGAAAATATGGGAGTGAATAAACATTTAACAATGTATTTGATGAGAACAAGTATTGACTGTTTTGACTACAAGTGATAAAAACAGATCACCTCTCTCTTAGTGTCTAAAACTTATGCACATGCAGATTGGGAAATATTCATTCTACTAGGAAAAAAAGACAAAAAATGCCTTTTAAAGCTTAGCAATTAATGGCATGAGGTCATTTTGATAAACTGAAAGTCTATATTCTCCAGAAGAAGAAACCTGCTTTAAACTTTTTTTGTTTTAAAATACTGACAACTTCTTGTAGCACAGAAATTGCCAGAAAAAAACAAAGTGCACTTCATTTACTTACCTCCTTTTTTTTTTTTTTTTACTTTTCTGTCCCTAAAAAATCTCAGTGGTCACACTTCATAAAAAAGGATACACTTGTTATACTTAACGCTTAAAGCTCCTTTCAGGAATTCTTTGACACTGATGAAATAGACTGAAATTCATATGGTTGCCTTTTCATAATATCAAAAGCATCAGAAACAAGAGAGTAAATCTTTAATATATTGTACTTTAAAGAGCCTTGATTCAATTACTACTTGGTTAATATGGACCACATTAGCTGGATATAGACGTGAAGTAGTTTCAAGTGAATCATCAACATGCTTTAACATTGACAATAATAATAGTAAACTCATCTGTGTAGCATCTCTCATATGAAAAAAAAACAGTTTTACTATATTTGAAAAAGCGGTACTTGAAGAAAAAGGTTACATTAATATAACTGTGACTGTGCAATAGTGTAAAATGACCACACCCCTTCACCAATACTTAAACATGTAAAAAAAATGGTGGATATTAATGGCTATATGAAGTCTTTATTTTAATCAGAGGAGCTAAACAAATGTATAGTCGGAAAATACACATGAATGCCCAGATCATACAGCCCATATGAACAAATGTATGAAGTAATTATGAGTTAGGCTCCTTAACAGAGGAACTCAAATCTGCTATAGTGACTTCATTAATAATGTATGGTGAGCAACAGTACTTAATGATACGTTCAACATTAATTCAAGCATTAAATAATCATGACTCATACATGGAAGAATCAATTGAGCATTAAATTTGTACCTATATATAAACATTTGCAGGGTTTTAAATTGGAAATACAGTAAACCTAAAACAAAAGGTCAAATTCAAATAGTTCACAGCTGTGGTTGTTTGATGATAAACACACACACACACACACACACACACACACACTCATAAAGGAGTACCTGGAGTCTACAGTAGCAGAGCACAGCGATGATACACAGCAGTATCACTGTGGCCAGTATTCCTCCGGTTATGACAACAGTTCCAGCTGTCATCCGACCAGCTCTCCATCAAACTCTGACACAAAGACAGGAAGTGATGTCATCTCTAACAAACTCCCTCAGCACAGCACATTTTAATTAACACACACGTAAAGGTCAGCGTAAGAACGAACACAGACAGAATAGCTGGAACATTGTTTCTGTGTAAGGTCTGTAACGGGGCGAACTCAAAAGGTCATTTTTATAATGGAGAGAGGAGGGTGGAGAGCATGCAAAGTTTAAAGAGCTTTAATACAAGAAAATAATATGACCATCAGATTTATTTATGGCCCCCCATCAACAGAAATCTTGATGCATATGAATAGATCTTTAAAATCTTAAAATCATTTTTGCTTTCACAATAGTTGGACCCCTGACCCAATTTTTGTGGGTAAAATATCTTAGAAATTTTTATCCTGGTGTGCCTAAATGTAAGTATTTCATTTGGACACGTGTGTTAGAGGAGTGTAATACTATAAGACAACGAGAAAAAGTTCCTTCACACACACTCACCTTATTGCTAATATATGAAGTAATCACAAACACAGCTTTTACTCATTGTCCTGCAGGGCTAAACTAACGCTCTGTGGGGAATTTAACTTTGGAAATAAGTACTGAGTATCTAACTCAATGTATTTTAAAATTTTGGTTAAAAAAGTAAGAATTTCAATCAGCAAAGACAAAACACTTTAATTACCAACAATACAGTTCACATAGTTAAGACGACTACTGTCATACTTACGTTCAGCAAAGTTGCTTAACACCTGAAAGCAGAGAAATAACAGAAGTAGTTAGCAAAGATAGATAGATAGATAGATAGATAGATAGATAGATAGATAGATATAGACTTACATCAGAAGAGTGTTTGAAGGTTGTAAGGTTGAACTCAGGTCAAATTAAAGGTCAAAGGTCAGAGGTCACACCACTGAATAACCACGCTGTATGAACATTTCTGTGGAAAGAAGAAAAAGGGAGAGACACAAGATAGAAATTAGAGGGGAGGTTTTAACCATTTTTGTCCACAAGGTGGCAGCAGGCTATAAGACAAACACTGGGTAATGACATTGAATGACAAGGGCTAAGGAGGTAAGGATGAGGAAGGAAGAAAACAGAGAATAAAGGGGGGAAGGAAGAAAGTAATGGTCTGCTTTATTACAAAATATATAAGAGGCATATATATGAATTAATACACACCTACACTCAGTCACAGTTCTGCTCTTTGGTTCTATTTCTGTGTGGTATGAATTCATATCCTGCATTATACATTTTCTTCTGTGCAACATTCAGTCTGCTGTTGCTTTAATGAATGTTTACTGTGTGACTGAGACTTCCTGAAAGTCATACTTTAAATTTCATTGTACCTTATATCATTATGATGGGATTTTTCTACTATATTTCTATGTCTATTCAGTGTATCATATTACACATAAAAAATGTTGGGTTTTTTTCAAGAAAACTACAACTTAATATCTTTTGACTGTTTTTATGCACATAGAAAAATACAAAGTATAATATGATGAAACGTCCCCCTTTAAGTTACACGAACAAGTTAAGCATGACAAATTCAACGTAATTAAATAAAGTAAGGATCCGAGAACAAAGAAGTAAACAGAGGTATAGAAATAACAGAACAAAATATTCACAGGAAGTCTGGTCTGAAAGTAAAAACATATGTAATCCACTTTTCCCCAATTTTCGATAAATTCATCTTATTGTGAAGTAAAATCAAATGTTTTCCTTTTACCATCCATTACAAGGATGTTATGTAACAGATCAGTCTATTCATCTACAGAGGGTATTTCTGTTTTAAGCCATTTCTTGGTTAAGGGCTTTTTATATATTATATCCATTTATCCTTCTTTTTTCATTTGAGGCCCCTTAAATTTACCGGGCACAACAACGTGTAGTTTATATGACTTTTTGACACATAAACAGCCTCAAATATCTTATACATTTTTAACCAAAATAGAGTCACATAAGGGCAACTCCAAAAAATATGGTAGTGATTTGCTTCTTTATCTCAAGAAAAACAACAATCTCAGTATGATCACAAATAAATAACTTCCTGTTGTGATTTTACTGTTCAAGCTGCAGTAACACAAAACCTTTTGCCATCATATTCAGTGCATGCATGTCAGGACTTTATTTGAGCCTCTATAGCTACGACTCATTTTCATTTGGAATCGCCTGTGCACACAATAGAAAACAGAAACAAAACTGTGTTACAGGTTGGCTCATTTGCTGGGTCACTGCTGTCAGGGGAGAGATCTGAGAATCTGAGAATTGATACACCACCGCTGCAGTATGACAGAAAAGGAAGTGATTTACAGCAAGGAGCACAAGTTTTTTTTTTCAAACCTGCAGACTCAGGCCTGACAACATAAAGGAAAATCTATAACTGCTGATAAAAACATGCCAAAGCCATGATTGAGGGTTTTCTTTGAGTACATGAAGAGGAAAACAGACACACTTATTCACACACTCGGGCACAGATACACACTTTCCTGCAGTCACACATACATCCAGCTCATTTCTTGGCCTGTCAATTGTGATTCCTGCTCCTTGATGTCTGAACGGACAGCTGTGAATTTTTGTGTGTGTATTTCATTTCGACCTGAGTGGTGTTTTGTAGCATGTGTGATGAGAAAGAGGAAATCTGTCAGTCCAAAGTGTAAATGAAATCCTCATCTAATTAGGAAACAGTCCAAAGAGATCTGGTCTCATTACTCTACAGATGCTTCTCTGCTGGGTTTTATACCAGCCCACAAGAGCCGGAAACTCAGAGATCAGTGATACTGAGCTCTAAGTTTAACTGTTTAAGAGTTTAAACTAAACAGCAATGAGGTAGGGACAACAGAGAACGAATATAGAATGCTTGACTAAAACCTAACAAGGAATCCCTTTCCACATCTGTGCCCTGAAAAATCAAATAAAGAGAAAAAGAGTTTTTATGCTGTGATTGTACTACGAGTGGTCAATGTTCGACTCTAAAATGGACAGATGGATCAAAATTGAAGCAGTAAAACCAGAGAGTTCATCATTTTTATTCCACCCATTCTTCTTCCTTAGAGAAACCTTATGCCTGGATCACTGATAATATAGAGTAACCTGTGTGCTGCAGTGAAGTAGCCTTGAGTCATTAGCCTCAAGCAGAGATAAAGAGCGGGTTACAGAAGTCTGGCATCGGCTAACTTCACACCCCACAATTATTTTCAAAATTATTGTTACACTAGCTATTATGAAAACACAACGTTTTCCATTTGTCTTGATAGATGTTTCCAGAGAAGCATTGAAAACACATGAAAGCTTCTGCTTTTGTAAGGCTTGTATAAGAAAGACAGCAAAGTCCTTCTTAGGAGTTTGGATCCGCTGAATGGTTGATAACCTTGAAGCAAAAGAAAGTCTTTCACTCAAAAGAGTCTCTAAAACTTTAAGCCATTTTGCAACGCTGCAATTATGTCTTTGACCATTAGACTGAAATCCTCTTACAGCTTAGGGCTTCTGCTGCAGGGTTTCACACTGTAAAAAACAAATCTTAGTGAATTCTTGTAACATTTAGTGAGAAATATTTAATCAGACTTATTACATGACACTTTCACTGATTAATCCAGAAACATCTAATATATCTAATTAAGATATTGTAAGCAAAGAAAAGCCTGAATTATTTGTTATGAGCAAAAATATCTGACAATGGATGACAGCAGCCCCCTGTGATGGGGAAGGAGTCCATCACAGTGAATTCCTTCTCAAAACTAATTTTTGTTCTCATTTATAGTCAATACTACACAAAAGGTGCTCACAACAAAATGACAATGACATGTTCAAAAGAGCAGGATTAAAACAACAGTCTTGGGGCTCTCGTATTCCTACATAACTTGCATTTTTAGCAAATATTTTGCAAAAGAGCCTGGAGCTTCCATTTACCACCACTCAATTCAGACTGACTGCTTCCACCCAAAAGGGGGCGGGGCTGAAACTTAAGGGCAAAGTCCCCACATACAGTAGATTACTCTCACACATGCAGGTAGCAAATTTTCTAAATTTCATGAAATAAGACTTTTTTTCTGCTTACAAGTAACTTTAAAAATAGTTTGTTTTGCTCATTACATTGGCAGGTGTTTTTTCTCATATAGGCCTGTTCTTTACATATCTTAAAATGAGATGTTTATCTGGGCTTGCTACATGAATGTGGCTTGTGTTAAGTCTCATAGGACATTTCTAAGCAGAAAAAAAGACAAAAACACTAGTCGAAACTTGCATTTTTTCAGTGCATTAGCCTCCTTTATTAATATTACTGACATTAGAGAGCGAGTTTCCATCTGCTTTTACTGTGCACTGATTTTTTTTAACTCTCTGCTGATCTAAAAAAATCATTTCAAACTATTTGAAAACTGTAAAAAATGAAGAAATATTTCAACTAGCTTTGAAAGAGAATAGGAATAACAGACTTTCGTGTTATAAAACCACAAGAAGAAGAGTATTTGGTTTGATATGCACCTAAATCTAATATATTTTGCTTGTTTTTCAGCTGTTTGTCTTCATATAGCTGCTGTCTGAGCTGACTGCATTTGAATAAATGAAACACTGTCAGTGTAAGTGTTTGTGAAGCATATAACGGTAAGTGCATCACGTATTGCTGTCTAAACACAAAATAACTTTATGTAAAATATGGAGCAGGGGTAAACTGCAGAGGAAGCAGATGCGGTAGACTGCAGAAGGTTATCACTATTACACGCCGACTCCTGATGTGGTGAATGTCTCGTACTGATGATACATACAGAGAGTCTGATTAGGTCCCCCATCGGAAAACACACTGAGCTGAGAGCGTCAGGAGAAGAAAAGGAGATGGTGCTGCGCTCATAGGCTGCAGTCTAAACTGCTACACCAGCCCTGAGCTCATAAAGCATGTTTCTGTCAGAAAGTACACTGGCCTTCAATTATTCGTGGAACCAAACAGGACGGCGGCCGCCAGATTCCTCTGGACAACATTCATCATGATTCCTTCCAGCTCAGACTCAGTACACTAAACTATTTTTCATAATTAATGCCAGTGCGGTGACTTGTACTGCAAGGAGGAAATGGGAATGGAGTCACTGCTGTCAACAAGTCGTCCTTTAGTCAGACACAAACTAACACATACATTTGTTATTTTCCCTGTTTACATGCTGCTCTGCAAGACCTGCTCTGAAAACTTTGCTTAGATTAATATGAGTTTACTTGTATTTGACAGGCTGGAGAGACAAATGGGATAGCTGTGCACCAATGAACACACTCATACTGTACACACATGCCGAGAGAGAGCTGGATCAGTCACCACTGGGTCCAGATTAGAGAGGCCTTCAATCCCTTATACAGCCTGAGGAGCCCTGTATACTGATAAGACTCATGCACATACACATACACACACACTGAGCACATTCAGAGTTCATCCAAGCATACATGTTCCCATCATTACCCAAATAAATCAGAACAAGCTAATAAAACATCCATTAAACAGACAGCTGAGCTTTCATAGCTGCAGCAAGAGCACAATAACGGATGCATTTGCTAAATAACACCACAGAAACTCATCACAAATGTCTTCCTGCAAATAAGAGTTCAACGCACATGCCGGCTCATGAATTTTGATTAGTTCTGGTACATTTAAGGCAGCAGAGCTCATGTCGTTTGTCGCAGCTTATAGCACTTCATATACATAATGGATTAAAGAGAAAGCAACTAAGATCTTGAAGTAGTCTTGGATTTAGGACAAGCTTTTTGCTGCTTTGTACATTTTTTTATCTGCTGTCATACGAGCTTCCCTTCACACCAGTCAGAATTACATCTAAAAGGTAATATACCAGTAGCTGTATTTCTAGTGAGCATAACTTTATGAACAGTAGGCATGTCTCAGGTGAATTGTTCCCCTCAAGGATGATGAAATCTGCACAAAGTCTTTCCTGAGTGTCACCTTGTTGTGAGTCTTAGCTGAGCTGCATCCTGGGATCAGCACATTTAAAACAGTCCCTCATGTTTGACAAGTTTTCTCTTAACTCTTAGTTCTGCTGCATTTTAGCCCCAGGCGGAAAGAGTTTAGTGTTTAATCCTTCTAGTTACCCCGGTGACACCTGTCAGTCATGTTGGAGAGCATATTTGTATCCTGAGGCTGGAAACAGTGTTGATGTTTAGGAAACAGTGGTGTCTATGCCACTGATGTGAGAATAAGACTTGGCATAAGACAGCTAAGGTTTAACACTGCAATCATCTGTCTTTCAGATTTGGGTTTTTTTTTTTGTCAGCCTGTTGCATCAGCTCATTGGCACTCTGCTGTCCCCACTTCCCTTATTGCCTTCCTTTGTTTCTGTCCTGCGGGTTATTTTGTTTGCAGGAGTAAAAAATCCTCCATGTTGCAAAACTACAGGCCTCCCATATGCTGTTTTAGGCAAATCAGAGTAATGAGAATTTCTGGCAAGTTGCCTCCGCTCTGATGGAGTGTTCCCCATGGAGTCCCAGCCATCAGTCTTCAGGAGCGTCTCAAGGACTTTGACTGTCTGTCTGCAGGGATTTTTACAAGATTGATTTTTTGGGACTTAAATTGCTCAGACCATCAATCAAACATTGTCAGTCTTTCCTACAATAAACACAAATCTGTATTTGTGACACAAGATTTCCAAATTTTCAGCCATACTTCAGTTCACTTCATATCAGTTTCAGTAACAGTCTAAAGGGAACAACAGCCACCATGTGGAATAACAAGCTCCTCGTTTAGGACAAGGAGCTCAGGTTTCGCATTACTTTGATTTCAGCAAGATTATTCAGATTTCGCTAGATTTTGTATCTTTTTCCATTGCATAGAGACTCGTGATTCAGTGAGTCTTGGAAAATATTCTGGTCTAATTTGAGAAAATATTTTAGTAAGATAATGAGAGAAAAAGCTGTAAACAACTTACAAAACTAGAGGACCAAATACAGCATGACATCTGTTCATGACTCAACACAATCAGTGCAGGATTATGCCCAAGAACTGGTCCTCTTAGCATACTTCTTTCTCTACACCTAAAACTGAAGGTGTGGGTCTGGTCAGCAGCTCACACACACGCTGCCCGTCTTCTCCGACAATAATTTAGGAAAAATTTCAGCACATATTTTAAGTTTGGAAACCACTCGACAGCATTACAGCTCCTGTGTTAACACTGAGAAAACAAGCCATGTATTCAAACTGGATTCACAGTCACCGTTGAAATGTAATTTGTCTAATCCTGTTATCTGGTGTTCCAAAAGCTGTCATCTCTCTGTTTCTGTCTGTGTCGATTCTGCTATGGCCAAGCATTGGCATCTGCGTTTGCATTAGCATGTTTGTGTAAACTGTTATTTGTTAAAACGAGTGGGTGCGATGTGAAAAATAAACAGGAGGTTGGTACAGAAAGACTGGAATTAAAAATAGAATCATGAATAATATGTCAAAACAGAAAGAAACTAATTTGTCAAAGCTGAAATGGAAACTTCACACGATGGAAGAATCAGAATCAGATATGACAGCTTTCTGGTAGAGTGACAGCAGCAGCAGGTTATACACAGCTAAGACATGTTTGGAGAAGACCTGACGAAAATAAAAAGTTATAATTTGTTTCTCACATTTTTTAATTCAGTTACACTGGTGCCATGTGGCATGTTTTAAAGGGGAACATCTGTACAGCTGAAAATCTGTGGGTAATCTACTGTACTATACTGTAAATGAATATGCGCTGTCCTTGGTGCTGAAGTGCTGAGGCATGATCTGCATTTGTTCTGTACTATTTTTGGCCCTGTTTAACCCCGACACATCTACTGATTTGTAAGGCACAGAAGATTGAGCTTTACAGTGGATTACTCAATGGATTAATTACTCTGATTTGGCAACAGTGTTCAGTTAATGTTGGACAAAATGTAGGTAAAACTAAGCCCTACACCTGACAATAATCCCACTCACCAAAGGTGTATTCAAAGGGAGTACAGCTTGCTAAAATAATAATTAGTTTTATCTATAAAGCGCATACCAAAACTTGTTAAAAAAGGCTTTATAATTAGAAACAGTAAATAAATAAAGATAAAAACAAAGCAGTTAATGGCTGGGTTATAAAAAGCCAAAATGAGGCTGTTAAATTCACACAAAAAGGTAATTATAACAGATCACAAATAAAATCCAATACTTCAATAATAATTTGAGGCTTCAGACACAATTATGAAGAACTTTTTCTAAGTCAGGAAAATGAAGAAAAGACCTGTTTTAGTCAACTGGCTGTACTGAGCAAAGATGGCAGTATAACCCCGGTCACCTGAGTGCCAAAGGAAAGGATGGAGTCAAAAATGACCTCTTTGCGAACATTGTTAGATAAGGCATCCAGGCGGGAGGACAGATTATTGATGTAAATACAGGGAGAGTAGTGACAATGACTCCAGATTTGACTATAACCTAAGTGGAGCCAGGTTTTAACAGTGTATAGAGCTAAAGGTCATCTGCACAGTTGTGAAAGTCTATATCATGCCTGCACAGGATTTCCCCCTGGGGAAACATGTACATAGCAAACAAAAGGGGACCAAAGATAGACCCATGTGGGACCCCTTTATGTCTGAGTGGCATCACCAATGAGTTATACATTTTTGCACTTCATTTGACACAAGAGAACCTAATTTTCAGCATAGATGCAGAAAACTGAGATTAAATATGTTTAGAAAGTTGACAAATGGAAAATAGCTAACAATCACAAATGGCAAGGATGTTACACATGTTACAACAACAATGCAAGCAAACCAAAGTAAACAGATAAACCCTTTAGGATCCTTGTGTTTCGGTGCTTTGGTTTAATCCAAACAAATTATCTCTCACTACATTACATCTATCTGTTTTTAATAGGAAAGTGCTCGACATGAAAGTAGATTAGGCACTCACATTAACATTTGACCTCAAAACCTTCTCCATGTACTGAGACACCTTCAGGAGCTCAATGAGCCATTATCTCATCTCCACCCTAAAGCTGTCCCAGCAGTTACGGCCGAGTGGGCTGAGATTGATGACACCAAACATTTAGTTCAATTACTTGATTTTGCTTGAGGTCATCTGGGGCAAAGGAGGCAAAGATTGCGAAGCTCCAGTCCCCACAATGACCCTCTTGGCCCTATAAAAGTACATGATCAATAGAGGCGGTAAAATCCCCTTGTCCCTGTGAAGATGGAGAGAGATGGGACGAGAGAAAGTTGGACCACACTTTCAGTCTTTCTCCGTCGGATCTGGACCATGTTCTGGTGTTGGCAGATTTATAACTGTGTACATTATGCTGTTATGCAGCTCTGCAGGCCACTGTACTCAAGCCTGCCAGCTCCTGATTCAGCCTTTCTAAAAGCTCACTGTGACTCAGGATGTGGTGAAGACCTTTACTCACATGGAAAGAGAGGGGTTCATTACTCACAGTAATTTTTAAATACAAATTCAATTTCCTCTCTTTTCATCAAGGTCTATTGCCAGATACCCGGGCCAGCAGGATTACAGTCTTATCTCTTGACCCCCTCTGTTGCTGTGACGACAGCTTGAACTACTTCTATCACTGTGAGCATTACTACTGCTACTACTGTTAATATACTGACAGTATGTTAAAATGGGTGACATAAGTGTTCATTGACTGTAAACCCAAAAGATTTAGAGGTTCTCTTACTGACAGACTGCAGTATTAACTCCTGCCTACTCCATAGAAACAGGTGGGACATGGTATGCACTATGAAGGTAAATTAAACATCAAATAATATTTTTTTAAACATGATTTCTGTCATTATAGATGTTTCTTAGGCTGATTTATGTCCAAATTAATTATTGACTGACAGCTCTGTTGACAAATCCTCAGGTAACGCAGGTAAGGACAGGCGAGTGAGAATCCTAACTCCAAAACAACAAGAGTCACTGAGCTTTCGGTAAACGTTGAATATCTGTTTAAAACAAACTTTTGTCATCAAGAATCTATTCTGCTGTGGACTTTATACTGACTTGAAGGATCTATGAGGTGTTACCACTAAGCTAAACATGTATCTTGGTCATTCAGCTCATGCCCTGACTGCACCAGTGTGACATGTTGGCACCTATCAAAGCAGTCATCTGGCTTCATATTTCACAGGGTGTTTGGACATTAAAGCACATTGTTCTCTATGAAGTCAACAGTTTTAATGTTTAACCTACTACTCACAGATAAGTTAACTTAAGACTTGCTGTATACCTATATTCAGCACAACTAACTTTGAGAGAACAAAACATGAATTAGCGCGTCGTCAAAATCAGGAATAACCTCGAAAAATGAGGCGAAAAGTCAAACCTACAAAAGGCGTTACTGTAACTACACTTGGCAGTTTTGCTGAAGCATCTGTTTCCACTCACTGATTATTCTCTGTAGTGCTTGACTGGCAGTTATTTTAAGCTAAAGTCCAAGATAATAAAGTAAACTTGTTGGCTTTACCCACTAGGTCTCTATCCAAGCATGCCTTGGGAAGAAACGAGACACAACCACAGCTTGTTCAAGAGTTACATAAACCTGCTCTGCTGATGTCTCTTAGCTTAGTTTCTCAGCTTTCTGTGTTGCACATACTGTATGACTCTGTGATATCTCTGTGTGATTCAGGTGCTGCTAAGTTTATTTTTGAAAGACTTTCCTTTTATCTTGGTATGAGTTCAGTCTTAAAGATTCATCAAAAACAATGTAATCGACAAACTTCAGCCTCCAAAGCAGACAGCTCCAACCATTGAGCCCCTGACTCATTCCCACTTCACACTGGGAGGCTTTAATTGATTTTCCAGTTAATTTATGTGCAGTTCAGACAGATTCACAGCAAAGAACTTGGGCAGGAAATAGACTTGACGTTAAACATGCATACAGCCCTGCGTCTCGCTGCTTTACGAGGTTTGCAGAGGTTTCATTAAAGCTGCTCAGCTCCCACTCTGCTGTCCTGCGATATGCCAGCTTCCCTTTCACACTTGGCAGCAGTGAGGCTCGGACGGGGCAGCGGGCGGCCGAGGGAGCTGTAATTACTGTACCTCCATTCTGCTGGTCAGCACCACAGTCTCATAAAAAGGAAATGAAATGGTTCAGCTTCTATCTATCTGTGAGGGAGTAATGTACCTCCAATATTACATTAGCATACATTCACATGGACGTTTTATCTGTGACAGTTAATAAATGAGAGAGTGTGGACACATAAGCAGGGCCAACGGGAACTAGGCAAGGCTGAAGTGCTGCGCAGGAACAGAGCAGCAAAACTGTGGGTTTGGTTCAATGTGTTGTTGACCACCAGCTTAAATGTCCTCGTTTTCCCAGGCGAAACTAGACCACTGCCTTAGAGTTAGCCAATATCCTGTGAGCTACTTCATGTTAGCAGTGTGACCAACATTAGCTATTCTTATTGTTACCATGGCTACCATTACAGTTGCCACCACGTAAGCTACCTTAAATTTTATGCTGCGTTCGAGTTACCTTGGAAGTCAGATGTCTGAACTGGGATTACACACCCGAGCTACCAGCGTTTCAGTTACCAAGTCGGAAAAAAGCAAAATCGGAGGCAGAAACAAATATGCAGTCCTTCTGCAACATCTTGTTTCCGCCTCAGATTTTGCTTTTTTCTGACTTGGTAACTGAAACACTAGTAACTCGGGTGTGACGTCACAGAAACAAGATGGCTACATCAAGATGGCTGAAACAAGATGGCTACATCTACAAAAGTTATTTTACTGCTTGCCTTGTCCGAATATAAGCAACTTCTGGACAAATATGCGGTCCTTCTGCAACATCTTGTTTCCGCCTCCGATTTAGCTTTTTTCTGACTTGGCAACTGAAACGCTGGTAACTTGGGTGTGACATCATTCCCAGCTCAGACATCTGACTTCCGAGGAAACTCAAACGCAGCATATGTCTCGCAAAGCTGTAGCAGTTAGTAAAATGTGGTGCAGCCTCCTAGCACCTTCAAATTTGAAAACTAAAACTATCTGTTCAGTGATTAATCCATTAGCAGGTTAAACTGATTGAATTAGTAATAATTCACAAGGTTTTTCCATAGTTCAGGTTCAGTTGAGGTGGCAATTCAGATTTTTGATACTTCTTTCAACTGCAGTTTGGCAGATTTGAAATAAAATCAAATAATTAAATTTCAAATTTCATTTATATCTTAAGGATCGAAAGTAGATTCTGTCCCCAAAAGATGTGCAGCCATGACATTTCATGAAGTGTCCATGAAGCCATTTTGATGAACGAGCTTGAAATGTAAAATATGTCAACCTTGAACAGTCTGTCACCAGAGTCTGTAAAGCCAGAGCAACATTTGTCAACCTTTGAACACTACCAAGCTTTTCCCACATCTGTCACAGTAGATAAATTAGACATAAACTGGCCTGAAAGCCATATGCTTGGCCGGCAGCCCTACATTGATTGAGTAGGTGCAAATTTCAGAGTACTGCTCAAGGCCGTTTCAACACACAGCTGTGCAAAAGAAGAAAAAAAAAAAACTAGACCTGTGACCTTCAGCTTAAAGGACTGTAGTACTGTAACTGAATCCACTGTGCCATCCTGCAAACAGCCAGGCAGACACACACACAAGGGGGACACTTCCAGGACAAACAACGACTCAGATCTCATCTCATCTCTCTGCATAACGTGACTGATCATGATTTCATTTAACTTCCTGCAATAAGACGGTTAGGCTACTTAAGAAAAGCATCAGTGAAACTCTAGAACTGACAAAAATCTTCTGAAGATGTCAATAATGTAAATGTTTTCTGGGGTGCAGCCAAGAGTAATCTTGCCACAGATGTTATAGCTCCATTCTTTTGAATTAAACATTGAAAATAAGCAAATAAGCAGCTGCTCAGTCTTAATGCCGTATTTATTTGAGTCATGATAAACAAACACAACGTTTCATCTTAAGAATAACAGCACCCCTTCATGCAGGACAGAGAAACCTTTAAGCTTCAAGCAATTTTAAGATTATATTTGATGGTTTAGAGACGGCTCTCTGAAGTAATCCCTCTGATACAACTTTTCCATCTATTTTATATACATCAAAAAACTCCTTATGGGAGCTTTAAGTAATGAAATCAACAACACAGGGTTTCCTGTCACAATTGAAGTCCCTTCAGAAAACAAAATCATCTGAGCATGTGATTTACTGCATCACAAAGGGGTTAAGAGTATTTGGTCAAGTTGAGCTAGTTATGTCTTGCATTTAATGTTACTTGTAGAGTTGTTTTGTCATGTGTAAGATACTTGGAAATAAGGATTTTTGGTGTGAAACGGAGAAAGGATGAGCTGAGTGGACAGACTGATCACAATCATAACACTTCACCTCAACTCACAGGAGTATAACCTCAGTTCTTTGGCCTCTGACCTTTGCCCTCCTCGATATTCAGTCCTTGGCCATCTGTGGACTGTATTACAGATCTCTGTGTGTTGGAGAATATGCACAGCTGCTTCTTGAAAGTGTAAATGTTTGAATTTAAGCTTCAAGCAATCCTTGCGTAAGAGAGCTGCTACAGGATCGGTCTATGTTTCAAATTGTGATGAATAAAACACAGTTGGGGAGTTGGTGGATAGTGACATCAAAGGAAAAAAACAAGCTTTTACAACAAAAATAAAAACGTCCCTGCGCCACAGGGGAGAGAGGAGCATTTCCTTGGCAGGATAAGTTCAGACTCAAAACAGGAGATTTGATTTCAAGCAGGAAAAGATGGTAAAATTAAGGGCAAGGAGGTTGTAGGAGGTAAGGATGGATTAGTAATGAGTTCAAGCCCAAACGCTACAGTATCTGTTAGAAATCACATCTGCAATGTGTGGTTGAGATGTCAATGAAATGACACGAATGATGAGAAAAGAGTAACAAACCATTAAGAGACTTAAAACGACCACAAAAAGGTGCAAAAAACAAGAGTGAAAAAATAGGTGCACATATGTCGCAAGGTAAAACAGAAAAATACAAAAAAACTGGCAAAAACACAGATTCTCAATATCACTACAGAGACACAAAAACAAGAAAAGCCGATTCATAAAATAAACTAAAAAGAGACCAAAAAAAAGGTCAACGACAGGATAAAAAATAACTACAGAGAAATAAAGAGACATGAGGTAGCTACAAGGCAAATAACCACAACACAAAAATGACTGATGTAGAAAATCATAAAATAATATACACAGAAGAGCTACAAAAACACATTAAATTCCAACAAAAATACACAAATAAGCCACAAATTTAGGAAAACGGCCAGTAAGAAACAGAAACCAGTGATGGATATATGCAAACCAACAGCAAAATTACACAAGGTGTCCAAGAATGATGCACCTTTTTGTTCAAATGTTAAAGTGTATCTTTGAAAAGGCTTAAGTGGACTGTTTATTGTGTTGAGTTGTCTGTGTGTGTCTCTTTGACAGCAAGAAACCATCATGTCTGCAAATCTCAAAGCGGGAATTTAACCATGTGAATATGTAAGCTTATGTTTGTCAGTCTGATTATGTCTGGTGGTGTCACTGTAAGTGTGTCTGTCTGTATGTGCATGAGTTTGTGTGTGTGTGTGTGTGTGTGTGTGTGTGTGTGTGTGTGTGTGTGTGTGTGTGTGTGTGTGTGTGTGCGTGTGTGTGTGTGTGTGTGTATGGGTCTGTGTGAGTGATTTTGATGAGTCACCACAGACACAGCAGCCAGCAGCGGTAGAGCTACGTTCGCAGATAACAGCCTTTCTCTTCCAGAGGCCTGCAGCTCTGCCAACGAGCCTTCCTCATGCCTGGCCTCCTCCTCACCCAGCCCGGCTGAGCTTGAGAGCTACACTCACATTTACACACCACATACCACACACATTCAAATGCAAAGTGATACAGCGCAAGTCATGAGCTGTGAGCCCAGCAACCAAAACAACTGAAAACAAATATTGCCAGCTCAAAATTAAAGCACATATCAGTGATACAACAGGGTTACTGTATCTGTTAGTGTTTAGTATTTTTGATATAGTGTAATAAATTAAGTGAATGTCATATAGTATAGACTGAAAGATGTGGACTATATCAACACAATATCTCTTTCTAGTACCTCCACTTTTAAAGAGATATTCCGGCGTAAAATTAACTTCAGGTCAAACACACCATAGCACCCAGTTAGACACCCCCTAAAGAGATCAATGGGGCCAACCACATGATAGCAATACACAGCGGTCTAAGGAGCCAAGCACAAACATCAACCAAAACCCCACTCAACAGCCACAAATAACACTCAGAACAGCACCTAACTTCATCAACAGTACATATGGGGTTCTAGCCACAGCACTAGCCACCAAACATCTTTTTAGCTTTGCCCAATTTCTTTGGCAAAGAGACTAAACACAACTCACCTACTCTCTTCCAGCAAACACTTCGTTTATAGGATGACCTCAGACAAGTCCATCACTGAGTGCAGCGGGATGACACAGCTCAAGGAAGAACATTTATGATCATTTCTTTATCATTTCCTTGAAGAAATAATCACCATATTAATCATTTTGCACTGCAGATGCTGTAGTTCTTCTGCCTTAGCGTCTTGGCCTGATTACATTTTCATAAAGAAATTATCATAAATTCAAATTCAATTTTATTTATTTGGCACTTTTCATGCAAAAAAATGCAATTCAAAGTGTCCCACAGAAGCTAAAAAATTGCATTACCCTAACTCAGTGTTACAGTGTCTTTGACCCTAAATTAATTTTACGCTGGAATATCCCTTTAAAGCACAGCTAACTTTTTTAATAAATAACAACCACTCTCTTGACTGCCTGATGAACTGCCAGGCAGTCACAAGTGGAGAGAGGAGAGCAGGGATGGGAGCAGGAGGAGGAGGAGGAGGGGGCAGGTGTGTTAATCTGTGTGTGACTGAAAAGCCAAGGGACAAAATGAGCGAGACAAGAGAGAGAGGCTGTAGCACCAATGAGCTAATGAGTGCTGGCAAAATACAAGCCCAAGTCTCTGTGTCTAACTGTGTCATCAATATCAATCAAAATAAGTAAGGTTATAGTTTTGCCTTGATCAAACAGCCAAGTGTCAGGCTCAGCCACACAGAAAACGACGTTACAAACAAAAATAAAAGATTTGTGCACCTAAGTAAAACATTTTCTGTATGAAACTTCAGTGGGACAAATTAAATCCTCTTTTTTTTCTGTATTAAAAGCAGCCATGTTCAAAGACACTGATAAAGTATCTTCCCTTCTCAAACACTTCTCCCTCAAGCACCACGTCTTCTGGAGATCAGATCTATTCTAATTTTATCTTCACAGCTGCTTTGTGAAAACAGACCTGAGGACGAGGTGGTGCTTCTGACACCAGAGTAACTTTTCCTGTCCTGCTGATGCTGCAGAGCAGTTTGGACACAGCACGTCTCACCTTTAAAGTGTAACTACATTACACCCAACCCGCAACTGTATGGCAAGAAATACGCATCCAGCAGCAAGGAAAACCTTCAGGGCTTTTTAATAATTCACTACACCACTCCTGGAACACTGAAACACTTTCCCAGGGTAGTTTAAGACCCTCCCCACTTACCCCAACCCCAACCACCGAGCCAACACACACATGATGTACGTGCACCACTTTCACGACTTAAAAATGCTTTTCTGTGGCTGCTGTCCCAGAAAATACAACAAGCTGAGTGGTGGCAGGAAGAGGACAGACATGGCTTTACAACCAGAGGTAGAGTAAGTACAGAAGTTTGCATTCAGAAAGCAAGAAACAGAAAATTGATCACTGACATGCCGTTTTTGAAGCGACTGTAACTTGACTTTGGTTCTAAGAAAACCTTCATTTCAAAAGCGCAAAAATCAGAGAAGATTTGTCTCATTTATGACGTTTGGATTATTTTGTAACAGCATGGCTTGTTTTAAATAAAGCTACTAGCTGCTCTTGTGGGAATTACTTGATGCAAGATTGTGTGCCACACCATGTCGCAGAATCCAACCGTATGTGAGGCTAGATGACTTTGGGCCAGCCTGTCTTTCTCCTCAAATTAAGATTCTTCAATCTTTGTTTTACTGCTTCTGACTTTTTATGAATTAAAGCTCCAGTGAGGAGTTTTAACTGACTATGTAACAGACTGAAACTGATTCTGACCTACGAGAGCTAGGGCTTTCTTAGGTCACCATGAAGCATCAAAATCAATAGCCTCTCCTCGCCTGCAGCTTAGAGTCTGCAGGAGGATTAGGGTCTGAGGGAGCTGGTCTGTGAAAGTTTTCAGAGGTAGATTGAAGGCATTGGCAGCAGGAGACATGTCACAGGGTACGTCGACATGTTTATGTATCTGTTGTATGTCTGTGAATTTGTTGCAATGTGCTGCTGCCAATCATAAACACTCTGGCCGGGACTGTGAAAGAGATTTCTAATCTTAATGTTGAAGCTTTCCTGTGAGATTAATCCGAATAATTAAAATAAAGTACATCAGTGCCATCATCATCAAAAAAGTTATTTTTGATGTCTGGATTTACTGCTGGGGTTAGGTGTCAAGTGAAGTGATTGGCTGTGTGGCTGGCACTAAAACAGCATTTGTATTTTTTTTTTAAAAAGGCAAACCCTCTATGATGAAACATTTGATTTGGAGGAAAGCAGGATGAGATTTTCTAAGATTAAAAGCACTATTTGTGCATGTAAAGGTCAAAACCAGCAATGAGATAGAAGGTACAGCTTTGTACAAAATCTGCACAGAGTGATATCTGTTACTGGAGAAGTGCTGGCATCTGTATATCTAAAACTACACAAATGGTGTTTGATACAGGGGGGAGTATTTCTTCACAGATGGATATAAACCCAGTAGAAACTACCTGCAGCCATAAAGGGATGGCTAATTTTGGCCACTCTTTACAGTCCAGTAGCATGAAATATGTAATCTGCTTGGAAGTTGTATTTCATGTCAAACTGAAAGAGACATTCAGATTGTATAAAAAAATATAACCATATTTTAGAAGAATAACATCACTCAGATTCACTTTGTGTAAAAACTACACAAACTAGTTTTTATTAATCATACAAAATCATTCCACAATCAAATGACAAAGGTAATCTCCTCTTCTAGCCTGCTAGCCAGTTAGCAGCCTGTCAGCTATGGCAGACTAAAGTCTCTGTTCAATCTACCACAAAATTTTATTTTTATCCAGTCGATGCAAATTTCCACACTGATATTAATAAAACAACTTTACACACATTAGCAGAAAAAAAGGGGTTAAGCTTTTAGCATCCTGGTGTCTTTACATGGCTTGTTTTCAGTGCTCTATCGGATGAAAGAGGCATTTGCAACCAGAATTTTCTCTGCCAAACAATTTTATCTTTTTATTTTTCAGCTGAAATCTTGAGGTTTATCCAATTGGTTTAGAAAAAGCTTTCCTGAGTCTAAAAAGGGTCAATCTTCCAAATATTTCTGATGCAAAAAGGAGACATATAAAATATCTACTATATGGCTGAAGAATTTGTCTCCCAGCAGCGATAATGATGATCCATGAGGATTTGTCTTGACTAATACGGCTGCTCAGGCTAACTGTTTCCTAAATTAACCGGGGTCGATCAAATATTTAGTTTCCCAGCCAGGGAGGCTGATATATAATATCCCAGCACTGACTAGCAGCTAGTTGTAATTTCATTTTGGTGTTTTGAACCGTTGGCACAGCCCACTGTTATACAACCTGTGTATTAAATATAATTTGTCTATTGCTGCTGTGTTAGCTGTGACAGCCCTGACTGCAGACTCCTCTGGGAAATCAGTCCACTTCCTGCCGAATCTCAGCCACTGGAGGTGGAGGAATTAAGAAGCGTGTGAGTGTGGTGTGTGTGTTTAAGATGGGGGGGATATAGGGAGGCTGCTCAACAGTTCTTTAGTCAAGCTGCATTTTGCAGCTTCCTCTGTGAGAAATGGGTCAGAGCAGCACAGCACCTGCTGCTAGCTGCTGGAGATCAATACCCGGCACAAAGCTCACTGCTGTTTAGCCACCATGCACACAGAGGCAAGGAGGGCTTCACCTGCTTCTTTGTGTAGTAGTGCATTGCATTTAGAGATGCAGGAACACAAACGCGGAAGGAACAGACATATTAATCTTCAAGTGCACAGGTGATGTCCAGGGGCACTGCCAAGCATTTTAGGTACCATGCCAAATTAGTGTCCCCCCAAACACACACATACACACACAAACTAAACACACACACACATTTCTCCACTGTAAAATGTACAATTTAGGGGCCCCCATCAGACCTGGACCCCTAAATTTGTTCAAACTTCTCTCCCCCATACAGCACTCCTGCGCCTAGTTGTGCTCAAACACTGATGCTGCTGCACAGTTTAGTTCAGGTACAGCTCGCTGCTACACTGTAGAAGCAGAGACTTGTCCTCTCTCAGACTGAAACGCTGCTTTATAAAAAATATGGAACCTTTTTTTCATCTTTTTGAATTGAAAGCAGATCAGGAGACGCCTTCTCTCTACCTCGTCACAACCAGAATTTTTTTTTTTGTTTTCTAATGTTGAACCTCTTATGTAAGCAATCCTCCATTAAGTTGGTAACATCATACAAAGGTGTTTAGTGCAAAATTCGATGACGCACTTCAAATTGAATCAAAGCTGGGCCCCAGTGGGAGTTCCAGCAGTGCTCAGCAGTGAGTGCTCTGCAGAGACTCAGGACCTTCACCCTGTGCCCTCTTTCTGTCCAAAATGCTCCATGACTGAATATCATCAGCAGAGGTGACAAAAGTGGGAATTCAGCCACCAGCCTGTACAGTGGCTGCCTCCATTTTTCCAATTAGAAATGGAGCAGTCTTTTCCTTCTTTAACTAAATGCCATGCAGCCGCACAGCAGGCCACCAAAGACCAGACTGAATCAGTGTGAGAGAAGATCACAGCAGCAGCAAAATGGCAAAACCCCAAGACTTCAGCTCACGCTGAGCTGCTCCACTGTCCTTCCTCTCTTCTCCCAGCCTTAAAGGCACATTTCACGATGAATTAAGAGTAGTTTTCAATGTGAACCGTGACATTTTTGCCACTTCAAGTAGATATTGGAGACTCTTTGCACTAAGGGTACGAGTCAAAGAAGTATCTACATACTCATTAACATTTCAATAGCTTTCTTTTCAGCGAATATGACAAATTTGAGTTTTTGCACATACCTGGTCTGGTTACATGGTCCGTTTGTTTAGCTCACATTAATCCTGAAGAGTGCGACCATGAAAAGCCACAAGCATCCTGATCGCAGCAAAAGGAGGTGGAGGAAAGCACGGCAGAGGAACAGAGAAGGTGCATGGGACGAACTGCTGCGGAACTTCTCCAAGGATGAGCCAGAGCGCACAACACCGCAAGGAGAGCCAAACACCCCCGCTGTGGGACCCGCAGACTAGAGGTCAGAGGGACGGAAACGCAAACGAGCAGACACCGAAAAATCGCAGCATAGTCACGATATGTAAACCCACAGAGTGAGCAGGGTGGATATTTAAGAAAAGTGCCTTTTACGCGCGGGTAAAACGTTAACACGCTTTCACCTTCACGCGCGAGAAGGGTCTTCCTTATACTCCAGGAAGAGCAAACAACCACGAGGACCCAGAAATTTACACGGTCACATCCAACAAGTGAGGAACGAGGAGGCGGAATGACGGTGTCTACCGCTGGGCGGACTGGGGGGGAAGAGGAGGAGAGGGAGCGAGAGGAGGGGAAAGAGAGGAGCCGCCCCACATCACACTCCCTCCTCCCCCCCACAGGGCTGAATTTGGTTCACTTCGTAGGGATACCATCAGACTATTTATGGAAGGCGGAGGTTATTTGAGGTAATATGGGAGAGATACGGCTTTTAAGCAGGGGCGTGACCACACGTTTTTAGATGGGGTGGCCCAACTCTGACTCTGACTTTAAATAAAAGACATGCGCTTTAGACACTTTAACTGCATCAAAAACGTGAAGTCTTTTACCACCCAACCTTAAAAAATGATATTAGACAATTAGTTACAGTTTCAGATTATAAGGTTGATTATCAGTATTATAAATAATGAAAATACTATAGGAGAGATAACACATATGCCAGTTTGCACAGATGGTATTTTAAAGTAGACACCATCAGTTCTTACTGGACAAGAGATTTAAAACTCCCCCTTATCCTTAATATTTAACATAACAGCTCAGTTTTTAAAACTTCTCAGGGGGTTCATGTTTTCTGTGATTGACACTTGATAAAATGTCATTTGGCAGAAGAAAAAAAAAACACCCGGGGGATACGCTGTTTGAGCCGAGCATCATCACAGCGACTCTCGGCACTCTCCCACCAAATGCGTACGATGGTACTGTGCAAGTGGTGGAGTACTGTGCAATGTTGGTTTCAGGAAATGGAGAGAAAACGCGGAATTACAGAGAGCTTTTTGGCTTCAAATCCGTATACTGGCGGAAGGTGGAACCAAGTTGTCCATAGTATATACAGTGTATGGGAGTGATGCATGGTGACGAGGCGTCAGACTGGAATTGAATCTGTGCCAACCGTGAGCACAGCCACCATATAGAGGATGAACAACTTTTTGACTGTTTGTGGTTTAGGCAACCCAGGTTGGATACAGGACATGAACTCCACCTCCTTCATGTCAGCAGAGGGAAAAGAGGCCAAACTAGTCTAAGATATTGTTTCTATCATCAAATTAAAGTCTCTGTACGTTTCATGTGTGTTTGGCGAGCTCCCCAGATGTGACGTTAGTCCTATTAGGCTTCTGTACCTGCCTTGCCTACATAGTTAAATGACATTGCCCATTAAATACAGTCAATGGAACTATGCAAAAACTTTAATAAATGACAAATCATACAGATGATACCTGTAATGTGGACATTATTTTTTCACAAGGATTACAAATTAGATATTTAAGGACAATTTATTCAGTCCCACTGAAATGGGACCCTTTAGTAGTATGGTTTTTCTCTGCACAGAGTAAATAAAGACTACATCAAACCTCCGAACAGACCACTGAGCTACTGTAATTGATTTGCCCTCAATCACTGCTTCCTTAATCTACTTACTGTCGCTACCGAGTCAACGCAAATATCGACGGAGAGGGCAGGGCTGGCTGACCAAAAAAGGATGTTCAGTTCTGAGAGACACTCATAGATTCATCATGTTCAACTGAACACAAGGACAAGTCCAGAGAGGTTAGGGTCAGGGAATCTGGTTTAGGGTTCAGACAAACTGAAAAAAAGGTGATAGAGCAAACAAACAATGTGTAAATAATCCAATGTAAAATGAAAGTGATGAAAGTGGTTTACGGTTTTCTAAACTGAATTTGACCCCGTGGGTGTGAACGATCTTGTTTTCTTAACTAGGAACCTTCTGATGTCTTAGAAACTTAGAGGGATGAATAATCTGATAGATACTTTGTCTTTAGAAGTCAAGGCACAGCAAGTGAGTTCATTAATATGCATGCTTAGTATTTCACCTTTTACCTCAATTAGGCAGTATTCCCACTCTGCAGACTGCTTTAAAAGGAAGATATTTTACTACTTTGGTTAAAAAATAGGAGGTTTTTCAGGAGTTGGACAGCAACAGCCGATGAGAGTGGAGTAAGATATCATGTCAGCCTGCTGTGTTAACAGTAGGGGTCATCCCTGTAGTTAAAATGCAGCCATTTTAGTGTTGTTGGATCAGCAATTTGATATAGAGGAAAATAGAGGGTATGGCAAGGAGCCAGGTAGCTGCACCAGACACACAAAAAACCTTAATTCAGTAAGTCATCACTCTAAACACTCTGATTTCTACACCAGGGATTGCCAGTTTAAGTCCATTCTGAAGCTGATTTTGAGCATTCTGGACCCAGTTTGCTTATCTTCTCCCTCCAAAAATCTCACCGGCTGCAAATTAGACACAATTTCGAGCTCGCTGGTAAACACCTCAAAGATCAGAAAAGGATATTATCTAGAAAATTATTCCTGAAACAGTGACCTCTGTTCCTGTTCACATCTACACATCGGAGCTAAAGCTGCAGAGAGTTCTGGCTGTACATCCCTGTGCTTCATCTGTGCTCACTGAACTAGAAAAGTGCCGCCACTGCTATAGAAAGTGATTTTACCTTCAGATGCTCATAGCTGACGCCAACGTCAGGCTAACGAGAAATAACATGACTTATTACGTTCAAAATTTGTTGCTTTTATCTTTCACAAATGCTAAAGCAGTGGGACTCACGGGACTCAGCATTGTTCAACTTCTTCTATCATGAAAGTCACAGTGAATTATGCATTTCACCTTAAAAAGACGACAGGAGGAAGTTTTTGACTGAAAAGACCACTTTCACTCATGCAAGACAAGAGAAAGGAGCACTAAACACAGCAGCTTTATAAACCTACGTCTGCATGTCGAATCAGATGATTTTCAATTTTTGATATGCCTGAAAACTGTACAAGGGTTTAGGTGTCAGACAAGAATCTGAAGAAACAGCTTTAATTTTCCAGTTTTCAAATAAAAAATTCGCAGTAAATTTTACATTTGACTGTCAAAGTCATCCGGATTGGATTTATAGTCAGAAAACACTGTTTGATCATGCTTTAAGGATCCTCTTTGAGTTGTATCCAATAGAGGGGCCTTCAATAGTCACAACTGTTTGTATTTTTCCAGAAACAACTTATGAGAAACATGTAAGAAGACAGTCTTGGCTGTAATGATTAAAATCCAAGTAATCCAGCTCTCATGGAGAAAGCAGATTCCTCAGAGCAGGACAAGCAGATGTAGAGGTGTTGCTGGTATTTTGGGGTGTCTCTGCCGGATGTACCAGATGGGAGGTGCAATGAACTGCTCAGCTGTGACACTGGATCTCAGCATCAGATTGCTGGGTCAGTCAGAAATGACCTTCCCTCTTTGCATCCAGGACTGAACTCCTACAGAGTTACATATTAGTCTGACTGCCAGTGGCTGAAAGGCAAATAGGAAGATGACAAAAAGGAAAACAAGAGAGAAATTGAAACAGAATATGACTACAAATAAAACAATAAAGAAGACAGAAGAGACTACAAAGAAAAGTAATCAATATTTTTGGTTTTGTTTCATCTGTCTTTTCATTTATTTAAACAGAGAGGTCTTATTGAGATAAATATGTCCTCTGGTGTGAAGACCTTGTAAAAATTGGCAGCATGAGTTTTAAAAAAAAGTTTTCACATAAGAAGTCACAAAAACTATTCAAACAAAAAGACTCAAAAGTTTGCATGAGTCAAAGTCATAGACTGTATGTACTATGGACAACTTGGTTCCGTCTTCCGCCAGAATACGGATTTGAAGCCGAAAATCTCTCAGCAATTCTGCGTTTTCTCTCCATTTCCTAAAGCCAACATTGCGCAGTAGCATAGTCGCTGTGATGACGCTCGGCTCAAACAGCGTATCCCCTGGGTGAGCTACGTAATCTTCGAACGCCCATAGGCTGTATCAAGTGTCAATCATAGAAAACATGAACCCCCTAATAACTTTTAAAAATGGATCTGCACAGAAAAAAAGAGGAATTGAGCACAAACCAGTCTTACAATAACTACATGTCAACATTTCAAGCAGGGGGGAGAAAAAATTATGTTCTGTGTAATAAATTTCTGAAGTTTGTCCACAGCCCCATAAGCTTTGCTGGCAGAGGTGGGATTTATGACCTATACTGCAGCCCGTCACCAGAGGGTGCTGTTCACGGAGTGGCTTCACCCAGAGGGCGTCCTTTCTATATACAGTCTATGGTCAAAGTTCTGTCACATTTCTGAACAATAAAGTGATGTAGCAAAACTACAAGTCCCGTCCATCAGGTTTGATTGACAGGTGGCTCCAAGGAAACCAGACCCTGACAGAGGAGCCTCCATGAGGATTTAATACTACAGTGTATCTGCTTCTATATCCACATACAATAAGCATACAACTATGAGACACACACATGAATACACACAAATTATGCCAGACTACGCCAGCCGTTAGTGAGTGTGTAAAGAGGGAGCAGTATCTCTATGGCAACCTGGGTAGAAAGAGGTCACTGTGTGTGTGTGTGTGTGTGTGTGTGTGTGTGTGTGTGTGTGTGTGTGTGTGTGTGTGTGTGTGTGTGTGTGTGTGTGTGTGTGTGACAACAAAGCTAATGCCATTTCCTGTGCTGGGAGGCAGCGCTGATGAGATTCTTATCTGGACTCACCCATCCCTGTTATTTTAACGTACTGACTGCTCTCTCTCTGACTGTCTTCACATATGTGAGCAGGGGGCTGGTATTTTCAAGTCAAATTTTCCATTCAATTCTCTTCACAATGGCGTTAAAAGTTTAGCATTGTAAGAGAAAAATTTACTTTTAACAATCAGCTTAAAGCTCCTGTGAGGAGTTTTTTGATGTGATGAAACTGACTGAAATTCATACTGATGCCATTTCAGGATGTACCGAAACAAACAAAACCATCAGTGACAGAATTGACATTTTTGATCTTGTGATTTTTAATGTCTTAAATTGGTACAAGGGGGTAGGTGTCAGCCAAGCAGCCACAGAAACAGCTTTTTTATCATTTCGATATAAAACATTCACATTTAACCACACATATGAGTGTCAAAAGTCAGCAGGGTGAAAATGTCCTGCCAGGTGACAGTATTTAAGCATGTTACTAAAGACTGCGTTGTCCACAGGGGGCGCCAAAATTGCTGCAAACCAAAAGTTCCTCACAGGAGCTTTAAGTTTGGAAACCCAAATGGAGAAATTATTTCATGAGTTGTGTCTTCTGACAAAAATCTC